CAGGAGGAGGGAGGGACGGGAAGCAGAGGTCTTCCAGGTCCTTCCAGGGTCTCAAAAAGAAAAGAAAGCTGCAAGCCACCCGGAGACCACCCTCTCTCCTATCTCCCAGCGTTTCTTTTTCCTTGATTCCTCCCACATTTTTTCCCCACAGCTAAGGACAATGAAACCGATGTTATTGTTTGAAAATTATTGTCAAGTCTTTACACTGAGTGAATATGACCTGGGTGAGATAATCTTCTTCAGTACCTTTGCAGAACAGATGCTGATACAAAGAAGTCAGGAGAGGCGGGCGGAGTAGCTCACACCTGTAATCCCAACACTTTGGGAGACTGAGGCCAGTGGATCAGCTGAGGTTGGGAGTTTGAGACCAGCCTGACCAACATGGAGAAACCCCATCTCTACTAAAAATACAAAATTAGCTGGGCATGGTGGCACATTCCTGTAATACCATCTACTCAGGAGACTGAGGCAGGAGAATTGCTTGAACCCAGGAGGTGGAGTTTGCGATGAGCCAAGATTGCCTCATCATTGCACTCCAGCCCGGGTAACAGAAGTGAAATTCTGTCTCAAAAAAAAAAAAAAAAAAGTCAGGAAATGAAGGAAAGTAATAAACGTGAAGGAATAAAATTATTTTTTTCTTTTTCTTTCTTTTCTTTCATTTTTTTTTAACAGGGTCTTACTCTGTCACCCAAGCTGGAGTGCAGTGATGCAATCTCACCTCACTGCAACCTCTGCCTCCCAGGTTCAAGTGATTCTCCTGCCTCAGCCTCCCGAGCAGCTGGGATTACAGGCATGCACCACCATGCCCAGATAATTTTGTATTTTTGTAGAGACGGGGTTTCACCACATTGCCCAGGCTGGCCTCAAACTCCTGGGCTCCAGCAATCCGCCTGCCTCAGCCTCTCAAAGGGTTGGGATTACAGGGATGAGCCACCATTCCCGGCCGGAAAAGAGGTCAAAGCCCTCCTTGACCACAGCGTCCACCCACCATGATCTTTCTTTTATTGTTTTGTTTTGTTGGGTTTTTTGTTGTTGTTTGAGACAGAGCCTCACCTTGTCACCCATTCTGGAGTGCAGCAGCATGATCTCCACTCACTGCAAGGCCCTTATCTATACTAAGAGCCTTGACTCTATGAGTGTAAAGGCAGAGACTAGACTGGAAGCTTCCGCACAGCTCCTGGAGCAAATTCTCTTGATGACAGAGAAGGGGCTTCCAAGCCAGGCTGGAGATAGCAGGTTTCCCTGCCTGCCATGGGACCAGCCTATCTGCTGTGTTCCGGTAGCTACCTGGGAACCAAGGACAGTGACATCTAATCAGCACAAACCCGGGGCCTCCTCCCTGGGCTTCCTGCTCACATCTGGTATCTGTGTTCCTCTTTGGGCTCCTAAGGTCACACTGGTTCCCAGACCCTTGGACCTGAACTGTGACGAAGGAGTGCCCTCTAGGTGCAAAGGACAGGAACCGACATCTCCTGGCCTCTCCCTTCTCTTACCCACCGAAGCTTCAGAGGAGACCACACACTGGGCTCAAGGAATAGGCTGCCTGCCAGCACAGGGTACTGATTTAGCATCCAGTACTAAATTGCCTAGAAAGGCCCATTTACATCTTGAGCTGCAGTTAGGCTGGACGTCCTAGAAGGGAACGGAAAGTGGAGCCAGCCACTGAAGCGGGGCTTGGTCTCTGTATACTATTTCCAGTGCTTGATGTGCGGTTGGCGCTCAAAGCCTGTGTATTGATAAGTACTTTAGTACCAGCCACATCTGGTGTAGAGGATTAGAATCTCCAGGGTGGGTTTGAATAAAGTACAAATACCTTGCCTTTGCTCCTGCAGAGTTAGTAGGCCTAAGATTAGTCCTGAGGCAATTATGGCTTTAAAGCTCCACAGGTAATTCCAGTGAGCAGCCAGATTTGGAAGCCACCGGTAGGGAGTTCAGCCAGGAGCTGGACGTTCTGCCATCTACGTGTTCCGATGGGCAAATCTTCGTCTCCGCTCTCAGTGTTTCCCTATCTCAAATGGGGAGAATTAGTCTGAGATTCTAACACCTTCCTTTACTCTCTCCAAGTGGGAAATGCAGCTTCTCCTCCCATCCTCCTTAGAAATAAATCTACTCCTCTGGGCTGTACTCTGCCGTTAGAGCCAGATGCTGAGCACTCAGGGCTTCTTGGAGGGAGCTGCTGGACATGGGTAAGCCGGCACAGGGCTCTCTTTTCTAACAAGACAAGCTGAAGAAACCGGGGAGGAGCCCTTCCCCAGTCCCTCCAGGAGCTAAGCAAATGACCCAATGACTGTGGACTCATCCCGAGACACCTACGCTCCCTCTCCATCAGGCCTTGGCAGGTGCTGGGGAAAACCCTTCCCTGTGCACCCTACAAAGCTCCCTCAATTCTCTCCTTTCCTCAAAGCCCTCCTTGACCACAACGTCCACCCACCATGACCTTTCTTCTGTTTTGTTTTGTTGGTTTTTAATTTTTTTTTTTTTTGAGACAGAGCCTCACCCTGCCTCCCAGGCTGGAGTGCAGTGGCGCAATCTCCACTCACTGCATACTTCACCTCCCAGTTCAAGCGATTCTCCTGCCTCGGCCTCTCAAGTAGCTGAGATTACAGGTGTGCGCCACCACGCCCAGCTAATTTTTTGTATTTTTAGTAGAGACAGGGTTTCTACTAAATGGGGTTTAGACGGGGGTTTCACCACGTTGGCCAGGCTAGTCTTGAACTCCTGGCCTCAAGTGATCCGCTCACTTCGGCCTCCCAAAGTGCTGGGATTTCAGGCGTGAGTCACCACACCCGGCCAACCTTTATTTTTTGTGAAGGAGCTTATTAGGAAAGTGCAGGCAGCAAAGCACGACTCTGTGACTCTCTCCTAAGCCCAAGCCTTTACCCAGAGTGAATCTCTAGGATACATGGTTCTTCTTTCCCCAGGGTTGTTTAGAAGATGTATGACATTAAACGTTAATGCATAAAGCAGGCTTATTTAGTAATGGCCACAGAACGTTTTATAAATATAGTACCACGTCTTCACTAATTTGGCCCTAGTAATTAAGCTCCTCCCACACAGTGCCTTGTATTGAACAAAGATGTTTCCTGCTCAGTTACACTGCAAGCCCCTAGAGAAGTTAGTCCTGCCTTTGTAGTGCCACTTCCTCCCTTTCATCTCTTACACAGAGAAGGTTCTCAATTGCTGCTGATTGCTTTACAGTTACTTCCCATCTCCTTACCTTCCACAACCAGAAGGAGAAACGCAGGGCAAATGTTCCTAAGCGATTTGCATCTCAATTCTGAAAGCTAGCTATTTCTTCAAGTAGCTAAGATGTGCCACTGTATTTATAATCCGTTCCGTGGCCATTAGTAAAGAAGACTGTTTTACATGTAAACATTCAATGCCACGCTTCTTCCATTCAGCCCTGGGGAGACAAGCACCATGTGTCCCAGAGAGTCATCCTGGGCAAAAGCCTGGGTTTTTGGAGAATCACAGAGGAGTGTTTTGCCGCCTGTACTTTCTTACCAAGCTCCCAGCTCTCCTGGCTCTGGCTCTGACATGTTGCATGGGTTTGGAACTCTTCCACATGTTAGCTTTCTATCGCTAGGCAAGTTGATTAAACTGTGTGCATCAGTTTCCTGATCTATATAAAGAAAATAACAGCATCACCTCAAAGAGTTATTCTGGAGATGAAATGGGTTACCACCAGTAAACCACTTGGAGCAGGAAGCGGAGGAGTACGCTCTCCACGAGTGTTAGTTGTTGCTGTGATTCTGTGGAGAAGCAGCCTAGGGAACGCGACGCCTTTGTCCTGGCTCTGCCATTTATTTGCTTTGTGCCTTTGGACATGCAAACACTAAGATCGCCATTTCTTCATGTAAAGTATTAAAATCTTGGTAATGCATGGTGTGCCTGTCTCACAGAGCAGCGGTGAGGTTCAAAGGAGCTAACAGATGTGAAAATGCTTTGTAAACTATTTTTAAAAAGCTGTAAATGTAAGGTAACAAATGCCATCCCTTTCTGTCTATACCTGTAGGCTTGCACTCATTTTGTATTACGGTTACTTATTTTTATCTGCCTCCTCCATTCGATTTGAGCTCCTTGAGATTGGAATCACATCTTGCTGTCTCCTGTATCGACCTGTACATGATTTCTAGCTTGATGCCTGGACATGGCATGTACTCAGTACATGGGAAATTAGAAGAGTAGCAGTCTCCTTGTGTGTTTTTTTCAGATGTGTGTTTCAGTACCTTGCTCCCTTTTAGACTGTATGTGCCAGGACTATTTCCCCGACATCAGGTGTAGCTTCCCGGAGGGCGCACTCTAAACATCACCTGCAGGCGGGCATCCAGTGCTAAGCTGAGCACTCATGGACAGACACTAAGTGTGGGGACACCCTGTCCTGAGGCTCAGATCTCCGATGCGCAGCCAGCAGCCTTTCCAACCCCCATGAGGCCTCTGAATGGGTCTCCTTACTATTGGAGAGACTATGAGTTTAATTGCTCTTGATAGTCCAAACCAGGGCAACTGAGAAAGCGAACCTTGGCACTTTCGGTGACCTTGAGGTCTTGTTTCTTTTCCTTCCATTTCAAAATCTTCCCAAAATGGCTACTATGTTTTTTGTGCCCCTGCTCCCAGCTCCCATCTTTCATGAAGTGGGGGGGTCTCAGAGGATGCCATTCTCCTGATGGTGTCATGTATCTCTATATCCTGCAAGCTACCCACCAGATGCTGCTCACAGATTAAGCACGGGATACATACTTGCTGATTGGAATTTAAAGAAAACCAAAATAAGTACACTCGACGGGAGATTAATTGCCTAAGAGTCGGTTGACTGCTTGACTGAAGCTGGATTTTTTTTTGGGAACCGCTGGCTGCCTTCACATTTCCTGATGGAAGTGGGACAGGTCAACAGACAGCCCAGAGTGGCAGATAACTTTTGCCCACACGTCATTCATTTTTTGGAGCGTTGGCTTGAAATTGAGGGGTGTGTGTGTCTGGAACCGACGTGCCTTCCGTGTGCCTCCGGGGTCTTTGCACTTTCTTTCAATGGGCTGATTACAACACAGAGGATGTGGACAGTGGAGTTTTTCCTGTTTGATGTCACACTGCTACCCTTTAAAAGTCTGATGGCAAAAAGGAGGGAATCCAGTCTAGGATCCTCACACCAGCTACTTGCAAGGGAGAAGGAAAGGGCCAGCGAGGCCTGGGCCAGGAGAGGCCCGACAGGAGTGTCAGGTTTCAATCTCAGCTCTAGCCACTCAGAGCAGAGCACGATGTCGGGGGCCCGCCTCAGGCTCTGGGTCTGTGCCTTGTGCAGCGTCTGCAGCATGAGCGTCCTCAGAGCCTATCCCAACGCCTCCCCACTGCTTGCCTCCAGCTGGGGTGGCCTGATCCACCTGTACACAGCCACAGCCAGGAACAGCTACCACCTGCAGATCCACAAGAATGGCCATGTGGATGGCGCACCCCATCAGACCATCTACAGTGAGTAGGGCTTCAGGCTGGGAAGAACGGGGAGCGCCCCTGTTGTCCATCTGTAGGGGCTTGGGGAGGTGGGGGACCAGACTGGAGGTCTAAGCCAACTAACCCTCCTAGCTTTCTGCCCAGGAACCACTTATTGTCTTATTGTGCGTGTGTGTGTGTGTGTGTGTGTGTGTGTGAGAGAGAGAGAGAGAGAGAGAGAGTGTGTGTGTGTGTGTGTGAGTGTGTGTGTGTAAATTTTAGGGGAAGATTCTGTCACTCTCCTAATTAGTATTTGCTCGTTTTTCTCTACATGAATAATTTGTTTCAACTAAAGCCCTTCCCAGAGTGGGAGCCATGTTCCCTTTGCTCTGTCAAAAGATTCAAAAAACGCACAGAAAGAAAGGCAAGGAGGCTAACAGAAAAAGAAGCCAGGTAGATCAGCAGACACTAAGTTTCAGCTCATGGACTTTGGACTGGGTTAAATAGGGAGATTGTAAAGAAGATTCCTGGGTCCTATCCAGATTGTAATAGATCAATCTCGGGGCTCTTTCCAACTTTGGCCTTATAAAAATTCTTGGGAAAATGTATTAAAGACAGACCTGTCTTGGTTAGAATGGCCAAGTAGACAGTCCATCCACCCATTCATTTGTCCATGCATGCATCCATCCAACAGGTTTAATGGGTGCTTCAGATACCCAGATACCCAGTATGAGTTGGTGATTCTTCTCTGAGGAACTGAAAGGTGAAAATCTGTAGCAAGTCAATCTAGTCAGATGGTTGGCAACATGGGACAACCGGAATGTTTTTAAGGATCAGGTTTGTGGATAGTTGGATTGCAATCCACAATAATCAATCCATTAGCTATGATTTAAATGAGGGCCCCTTTGTGTGCACCTGTATAAGGGGTCATGTGGTGGGAGCGGGCATAGATATTGAAAAAGACTGGATCTTCTATTTTGGGAAAACGTGAAACATCTCTAAGGATACAGAAAAATGCAAACTGATTCAATATAGACCAAATTAAAGGAAAGAAAAAGTAATCACAATCTCTAACCAAAGAAAACATAGGAATTATGTTTTGCCCTTTATTGTTATAAAAAATTAAATAATTATTTTGCTGTGTGCAAGGCATTTATTCTTCTAAGAACCAAAGGTCCTTAATCCTGGTTGCAAGATATATAACATGAAAAGTTAATAGTTTAAACCTCTTAAGTGCTAAATACATGTTGATAGGCGATAAAAGGAGGGAGAAAAGTTCTCTCCAAGTAACAGACAGGTTCCAGAACTCCAGAGGATATAGTAAGACTCAGGAGTCAACATCATGAAAACCAAGCTTGAGTCTTGTGGCAAAAATCTGAATTAAATCTGGATGCGCTTGATGCATCCGAAGTCTTGTTCATTTTATTCAATGGATATTTAGCAGGATCTACAATGTGCCCGGCATTAAACCAAGCTCTGTGACTGAAAAGTAAGACACAACTCTTCAAGTCCTTGTAGTCTGTCATCCTGCCTTGTCACCCAGCTCACTATCAGACTTTTAGGAAATACAATTTTGCACCTCTCATGGAGGGGCTACCCTTCCTCCAATTCAAGACTGTATGTGATTTAAAATGCAGGATAGTAGATTATGGTAAATTATTTTGATTTTCTTAGATGGAAAGGGCTGCATCCAACTAGAGAATGTTTACGCAACTTGTCTCGAATCCTGGAATCCTATTGCTGAAAGGAGCTCCCTAAAGACGTTTCCTCCTAAACAAGAATTAGGGTAGAACAGAACAGGCTGGCTATGGTGGGGAATGAGGGTGAAGAGTCAACCTCCTGGGCTGGCAGTTTGGACTGCAGACCTTTTCCTTGAAAGCCCACCTGGTATCAGGCCCCAAGGGATCACTGAGTGCTAACTGGAGTGAATTAAAATGACTGAGAAGCAGCAAAATAAATTGAACTGACTTCAGATTTTTAAAAATAGAAATGTGATTTTGTTTTCTTAGACATAGCATTAGCTAAACATTGCATATTTAAAGACTTAATGAATGTAGAGAGGGGACCTCAGGGTCAGAGTAGTGGGAGGGAGATCTACTTTTCCTAGTTTATATAGATAACTTTCTGTTCTGTTCAATCAATTAGCATGTGTATTATGATGGAGGGAAAGCGCAGGGAAAAAATTACACACTACCATTAAAAGTTACCCAAAAGAGGCCAGGTGTGGTGGCTCACGCGCATAATCTCAGCAGTTTGGGAGGCCAAGGAAGGAGGATCACTTCAGGTCAGGAGTTCAAGACCAGCCTGGTCAATGTGGTGAAAGCCCGTCTCTACTAATAATACAAAAATTAGCTGGGCATGGTGGCGTGCCTGTAATCCCAGCTACTCAGGAGGCTGAGGCAGGAGAATCACTTGAACCCGGGAGGTGGAGGTTACAGTGAGCTGAGATCACACCACTGCACTCCAGCTTGGGTGACAGAGAGATTCCATCTGAAAAAAAAAAAAATTATCCAAAAGAAAGAGGAAAGATTAATGCATGTAGATAAGAAACACAACTAATTAAATGTCTGCTGAAGGATTTGTAATGACCTCATCAGTGACTGTAAAGCAATGTTTTTACACTGACGGAAACCTAAAACGTAAGGTGTATTTTTCCCCTCCTAATTATATATTTCTAGTAAAATCTGGTACATTTTATTATTTTGCTGTAATAAATTATAAGAGTTGGGTGCACACCCCATCTTTGGGTCATCGGACTTGACAAAATGAAATTACTGCATACCAGATGCTTCAAGCTCACTTGAGACTCACAGGTGCTGCTAAAATACCCCTAAGATGTCCATATCACCTGTTCCATGAACAAGGCCATCCTCCGGCTCCTCTTTATCCTCATTATATGGAAACAGCAAATGAGAGATGCTTATTGCCCCTGGTTGTGTCACATCCTAGATCCTGATATTTTCACTTCCTCCATCTTCCCCACAGGAACTTTCTTTACTTGAAGCTGAGTTACCATTGGGCTCCTTAGCCCTTCTTCATCCATTTTTCTTTTGAGATGCTCAAAGCACTTCATTACCACCATCTTATTTATCACTTACTGGCCATAAGTGTAGAACAAAGTAGATAATTTTCTACTTGTATAAGCAGAGGTTGAGGCAAAGCAGTAACAGTAAAAATTACTAGCATTTGGCAAGTGCTTTCTAAAGGATAAAAACATTATCTCATTATGTCTTCAAGATGATCAAATGAGGTAAATGTTTCTGCCATCCTCATTTTACATATGAAAAAACAAGAGTTAAAGAACTTAAATAACTGGCTGAAGGGTCACACAAGTATAAAAGCCCTAGGGGAAATCTTGACCCCAAACCTCATGCTCTTCCAAGGTCACACACATAGAGACACCTCCCTCATTGAAAGCAAAGTCCATCAAGCCTGCCTAGCTCCAGCAGGGCTGGTGGCTCCAGCAGTCAGTCATCTGTTCTTTCATTCTCCAAAATTCTCCCTTGAATCTGTGCAGACTGTGAAAAGATGCCTTTTGAAAGTGCAAAGGAAAGAAACTCTGACTCTCTCACATTTTCTAAGCTTTCACGTTGGCTCACATTGTTTGATGCAAGAGTCTGCTACCTTGGTAGCAGCTGCTCACAGTTCCTCAACCCTGCAGGATACTTTCTAGGGGGACTGGCTCTGGAGACCAGGAACGTGTGTGCCATATGCAGTGCCCACACTGACCCCAAGCATCAGGACAGCATGCCTGTCAAGACTTGGCATAAACGGCAGGTCAGAACACACCACGTGATGTCCTCTGTTTGCCCGACACTTTGGAATCACTTTTGCCACTATTATCCCATTTGATTCTCATCTTCACCCTGTGAAGTAGGCAGGACAGCTATTGTTCTATTTCACAGCTGAGGAAACTGAGGCTAGTCGCCCAAGGCTGCAAGGTTAGCAAGTGGCACAGTTGGGACAAGAATCTAAGTACCCTGGTTCTTGGTGCCTGGCTCAGTGCCTCTTCTCTGATCCTCGGCGTCGTGACTCCTTGTCCTCACTGCCTGCAGCATGTATCTTAGCACTTGATGGTGTCTTTTCAGACTTCCAGTGAGTTCTGCTGGAGGCTTACTACCGGGTAGTAGGAAGAAGATGTCTCTGACCTGAGTTTCAATCCTTAGTTTCCTTATCCGTTAAATTAGGATATTGCTCCTACTGCTACTCCTACTAATAATAACTAGCACCAACAATATAACATTTGTTTTGAGAATTTAAAATATGTAAAGTGCTTAGAGTGCAACCACTCAAAGACCACTACTAAATGGATTTTTTTCCCCAATTAGACTGAAAAGTAACCAGAACAGAAACCATTTCTTACATGTTCCTTTTGTTTCTCCAAAGGTTTACCACAAAACCAGCCATACATTTGAGACACACAGGCAGGCACCACCGTGGAGGAATTTCAGCATCCTTTGCAGCTGGCATACCCCAGTCCACTTTCTGGAAGCTCCCCTCAAGGTTCCCCTCAGCCAAACTTTGAAACCAAGTAGCTTCTCTTTGGTCCTCTTCCTTTCTAAGCTTTTTGGGGATTGTCTCCATCCTCATTCCTTCTGTTCTGTGTCATTCTAATTTCAGTCCCTATCATGATTTCTACTCAGCTAGTAATTATTCCTGCTTACTTTCTCAAAGGTCCTTGTATTGAGCCTACATGGGGTGGGAGAGGAGGTTTGGGCTTTAAATCACCCCACAAGTTTCCATCACTTGCTGGGCACAGACATTGGGCATTTACAGACTCTCCAAGATACAGTTGCAGAAGAGGAATTAGAAACCCTGAGTGGGATTCTAGCTGCCTCCCTGGGGGCTACGAGGTCAGATGAGTTGCACCTGGAAATTCTGTGTTAGGCAACTGGAAGTTGTCCCAAAGACCTAAAGTAATGATTTTTAACAGAAAACGTCAGGTAATTAAACGTTTGGGGCAGAAGTCTTGCTGAATTATCACTCATGTTACACTAGTATATAGTGTGATTGTGCCGTGCCACAAAACAGAAAGCATACTTAAAGCCATTATCAATTACTTAAGATGAAGGTAGTGTGAATGGGTTTCAGGGCCTTGTCGGAGACTAGTTTTTGAGACAGGACCCTGAAAGTCCATGAGGGATTGCACCGGGAGGGGTCACCACCAAGTGAGAAGATGGCAAAGAACAAATCCAAGAGGAGCCCAAGAAGGAAATTCTAGCCATCACTGGTATCAATTCTAACATATAGCATATATAACATATATTGATATAACATATATAAATAGTCATGCCCTCTTCTCCTAAGTAGCTCACTCTAAGGAAAGCACTAACTAGGTAAACTTAGTTAAAGCAAGGTAAATGGAGTACATGCTGTAATAGAGGTGAAGGCATTGCCCTGAGGAGCTGAGAAGAAAGAGCAACTGATTTTGCATGGACAGATGAGGAAAGTCTTCACAGAGATGGTGACACCTGAGCCTGGTCTTGAAGAATGAGTGACTTCAATAACTAGAGAAGGAAGAGGGAGATCAATTCTAATAATGTCCTGTGCACATACTGGGTGTTCACTGATGTATTAGACAATTACGCAGACATCCAGGTGGAGAATCAGACTCTATGGACAAGCTGGATCCTTGAAAAATATCTCAGCATAGTTTTTTTTTGTTGTTGTTTGTTTGTTTTTTTTTTTTTTTTGAGACGGAGTCTTGTTCTGTCACCCAGGCTGGAGTGCAATGGCACAATCTCGGCTCACCGCAACCTCCGCCTCCCAGGTTCAAGTGATGCTCCTGCCTCAGCCTCCTGAGTAGCTGGGATTACAGGCACGTGCCACTACACCCAGCTAATTTTTGTATTTTTAGTAGGGACGGGGTTTCAACATGTTAGTCAGGCTGGTCTCGAACTCCTGACCTCATGATCTGCCCGCCTCAGCCTCCCAGGGTGCAGGGATTACAGGTGTGAGCCACTGCACCTGGCCCACCTCAGCATACATTTAAAAATCACAAAGTAGAAGGCATGAAAGAATGTGACTACCACCACAAACGTTCAAAGATATTAGCAAGGCAAAGGAGAAAATAAAGACAGCCCAGGTAGAGAGAGAGAAACATGTGTTCAACACTTGCAGACGAATGTCAGGAGTTCAGAGTGCCCCACACAGGCAACAAGATGAAGCAAGAGGTGAATGACTATATGTGTGCTGGGGTTAAGAGAGGATGTCAGAAGAAAGGCTGAATATGTAGAAATGAGGCTGAATTTAAGGGTGTTGAAGTCATCACCACCCTTAGAATCAATCCAGGGAGGTTTCATGAAGGTGGGTTTTCAGGAGGTGCTTAAAGGTGGGAATTCGATGTGCAATGAATCTTTGTCCCACCATGGTTTTCTCCACAGGTGCCCTGATGATCAGATCAGAGGATGCTGGCTTTGTGGTGATTACAGGTGTGATGAGCAGAAGATACCTCTGCATGGACTTCAGAGGCAACATTTTTGGATCAGTGAGTTTCTTTTTGTGTTGGTTGCCATTTGCAAAGAATTATCTAATTTTTTGACAGGACATAGACTTTTCTAGCTTAACAATTCCATTTGCAGTGTACCCTGGTGACCTGTTTCCCCTGAGTACTTCATGCGGTCTCAGTATTGAATGCTCAGGTTTGATAGATGGGGTTTGAACTTAGGCAGTCAGGCTCTGGATCCCAGGCTCTCAGCTCTGAGTCTCACTGCCCGTTCATATCCAGTTTTGGATCTAGCACAGGCCCTGGTATGCAGTCATAGGTCCTCAAGTCATGTCAATTCGCATTGTAAAGTACATTAGAAAGTGAAAAGCCATTGGTGTCCTCTTGATTCTGGGACTAGCTGTGACTTTAGGTAAATCTCCTCACTTCTCCAAACTTCAGCATTTTCACTTGGAAAAAGTGAAGTGGAATAGACCACATGACCTGTGGAGCTCCCTCCAGTTGAAGATTTTTAATTAATTACCCTTGCCCCAATTGTAAGAGCTATTCACTCGGATTGGTGAGCAAAGGATTTCCCAAACTGAAGGCTGCTGGCCTCTTTTTGGGGATTTTGAAATACAGCTAGTGCTCGACTTACGACCACGGTCGGGACCGCGGACGGGTCGTAACACGATTTGGTCGTAAGTTGAGTAGGCTATATGTACAGTTGAAATGGTGCAGGCGGAGATGGTCGTGCTGCCGGAAGCTGGTCCTCACTGTCATATGCCCAGCTGGGCAACGTTTGCGCTGCCAGACGCGGAGCAGTCGTGGCTAGTGATTGTGGTGGTAAAGTCGAATGGTCGTAAGTTGCATAGGTGGTAAGTCGATCAATACCTGCAGTAAAATAGTAGGACTGCTTATCTCAGGAGTCTCTTACTATCACTCATCCCCACCAGAAACTCCGCAGGAACAGAGACTTTCTGTTGTGCTTTCTGCTGCGTCCCAGCCCCTACAATAGTGTCTGGCTAGAGTAGGGTAAAAAAAAAGCTGTTGAACAACTCCTGAAATCCAGATAACTCACTAAACATCTGCTGAAACCTTCTAGGCATGTAGATAGTCCTGGTCTGTAAACTACTTACCGTGTGGAGTTTGGGTACTATAAGAAATAACACGCAAAGGCCTTCGTGGGGGGGCTCAGTGAAACCCAGTGCTGGTGGCAGGGGACTCAAACTCAGCTCCTCTGTCGGCAAAGTTCATGTCTCCAATCCCTATACCGAATCGTCTCTCTGGCCTCAATGCCCTCATTCATGTTTGACCCTATAAACTCCATCCCGTCTCCTTTCCCCAGTAGGGAGACAAAGCCAAGACAGCTTTCCGCCAGCAGAGGCTTGGAAAAGGTCGCGGGCGGGAAGGACGAGGTGGGGCCTCCTCCAGGAAAGCCACAGGCCAGGCCGGCCGGGCCTCCGGGCACTGAGCGCAGCCCCCAGGGGCCGCGATCTCTCCACGGGGAGCCGTCCTGCTTCAGCACAGTCAAAACCACCTCACCCTAGCAGGGCACAACGGGGTGAAGGCCCAGCGCCCCGGGCACTGCAGGGCCTCGGGCTGGCGGGCACCAGCGAGCGGCCGCAGATGGAGCTGGGGGTGGGTGCGGCCCCCGCCTTCACGCGGCTCACTCTTGCCCTTCCAGCACTATTTCGACCCGGAGAGCTGCAGGTTCCGACCCCAGAGGCTGGAAAACGGCTACGACGTCTACCAGTCTCCTGAGCACCACTTCCTGGTCAGCCTGGGCCGGGCGAAGAGGGCCTTCCTGCCAGGCATGAACCCACCCCCGTACTCCCAGTTCCTGTCCCGGAGGAACGAGATCCCCCTCATTCACTTCAACACCCCCAGACCGCGGCGGCACACCCGGAGCGCCGAGGACAACGCGGAGCTAGACCCCCTGAACGTGCTGAAGCCCCGGGTCCGGATGACCCCGGCCCCGGCCTCCTGCTCGCAGGAGCTCGTGAGTGCCGAGGACAGCAGCCCGGTGGGCAGCGACCCGTTAGGGATGGTCCGGGGCGGTCGGGTGAACAACCGCGCTGAGGGAACAGGCCCGGAAGGCTGCAGCCCCTTCCCCAAGTTCATCTAGGGCCGCTGGAAGGGCACCCTCTTTAACCCATCCTTCAGCAAACGCAGCTCTTCCCAAGGACCAGCTCCCTTGACGTTTCGAGGCTGGGAAAGGTGACGGGGGTAATGTATGGAATTCGGGGCTTCTGTGGGGTCCCTTCCCCAGGAGGTCCTATGAGATTTGACCTTTGAGGCTCAAGTCATGGGGTTTCACCGCCTTCCTCACTTCACGTAGAGCACCTTTCTGAATAGGAAACCCCAACAGGTAAACTAGAAATTTCCCCTTCCTAAAGGCAGAGAGAAAGGGTCTCTCCCCAACACATTTCTCTTCCTTGGGCCTCTCTTCTTTATCACCTCTAAGCATTAAAAAAAAAAAAAAAAAAAAAAAAAAAAAGCAGTGGGTTACTGAGCTCACAACTTTGAAGGTGTAGGGAAGAGGCGGTCCAGAGATCCCAGAAGCTTCCCCACTGCCCTGTGTGTGTTTTATGTTATGTGCCTGGATCCCACTGGCATTTGAGTGTGCAGACCTTGACATTGACAGCTGAATGGCGCAAGTTGATGAAAACACTACTTCCAAGCCTTCGTTCCTCCTTGAACCTCTCTGGAGAACAGCTGTCAAAACACCAGTGGTAGGCTGGTGAAAACTTGACAACTAGACTTGATGCTTGCTGAACTGAGGCAGGAATCACAGGAAAACTCAGCCTCCCTTCAGGGTGAGCACGCTGTGTCTCGCTGTCTCCCTCTCTGCAGCCACAGCCAGAGGGCCCAGAATGGCCCCACTCTGTTCCCAAGTGGCTCATGATACAGCCTCACCTCTTAGCCCCGTCTCCGGTTTTTGAAAATTTGATCTTAGGAATCGCTTTTATATTGGCTCGTGAAAACCTACCCTGCTAGATTCCATATTTTCAAAATGGAAATAAATTCCAACTCTCCTAAGAGGCATTCAATTAAGGCTCTACTTCCAGGTTGAGTAGTAATCCATTCTGAACAAACAATAACCACGTGACTGAGAAGGGGGCCGAGAGACACTGGGACTGCTCTGGGTTAGGTTTTCTGTGACTGAAAAATCGTCTCCTTTTCTCTAAGTGAAGTGGCATCAAGGACTCAAGGGGAAAGAAATCCGATAACCAGGGGACATGCTACAGAGGTTACCAAAAGGCAGCCAGATGGTCGGGCTCGTGGCTGTGGTCTCTAGGCCTCTGCTGCAGCAGTGGCTCTTGGGACAGTTAAAACACTCCTAGGCTGACACATCTGGGTCTCAATCCCCTTAGAAATTCTTGGTGCCTTAAACGAAGACAACTTTCAGTCCCAGGAGCCCCAGTGCTATCTGGAGGAAGCAGAGCTTCATAAAGCAAGCAGCACAGGAGCAGAGGGGTAGCAGGCAGCTGGGCCTGACAGTCAGCTCTCATCCCAGCCTTTCCCCATTACTGCGGTTCTTCCTGCGAGGGGCTCCGTTTTCCTACCTCTCTTTCAATGACCACCTGAAGGACAGAATATTAACAAGCAAAGTCCATTCAGCAACAGCTTCTCCCCACTTTTTTTTTTTTCCTCACTGCCATCATGTACTAACCTTATTCTTTCATCTATTCTTTTATCAGAGAAACATTGGACAACTGTTTTTACCTGATGGTTTTAAGCTGAACTTGAAGGATTGGTTCCTATCCTGAAACAGTAAAACTATGTATAATAGTATATAGCCATGCATGGCAAATAGTTTAATGTTTTTGTTTTCATTTCCTGTTGGAAATATTATCCTGTGTAATTAGCTATTGGAGGCTCCCCAGTGAAAAATCCCAAAAGGATTTTGGTGGAAAGCTGGTTGTAATCTCACAAACTCAACACTACCATCAGAGGTTTTACAATTTCTAATATCCATCGTCATGTGGCAATATTTATTTATTTATTTGGAAGATTTTGCCTATCCTTCTATATTTATAGATATTTATAAAAATGTAACCCCTTTTTCCTTTCTTCTGTTTAAAAGAAAAATAAAATTTATCTCAGCTTCTGTTAGCTTACCCTTTTGTAATACTATACAAAAGCAAGTCGGAATATAAGAATAAAAAGGATTATGGGAGGGGAACATTGGGTAAATCCAGAAATGGCAAAATTGAAAATAGATTTTAGAATTTTTAAATTTTCAAAGATTTCTTCCATTCATTAGCAGACGCAATGATTTTAATCGATCTAGACGGAATTATTGAAGTTTTATCAATATTGGATTTCTGATCATTCATACCCTAAAGTGCTTTTTATTTTTGTTTTTGTTTTTTGAGACGGAGTCTTGCTCTGTCACCCAGGCTAGTGTGCAGTGGCGTGATCTCAGCTCACTGAAACCTCTGCCTCTGAGGTTCAAGTGATTCTTCTGCCTCAGCCTCCTGAGTAGCTGGAATTACAGGTGCCTGCCACCACACCGGCTAATTTTTGTACTTTTAGTAGAGACAGGGTTTCACCATCTTGGCCAGGCTGGTCTCGAACTCCTGAGATCATGATCCACCCATCTTGGCCTCCCAAAGTGATGGGATTACAGGTGTGAGCCACCACACCCACTCACGTTTTCTTTAAAGAGGGAATTTTTTATTTGAAAAATACACACCAAAACAACCACATCAGTATCTCAGTAAACCACATGCTATGCACTTAACACATACACAGTGTTACTGCCCTGTGAGATTTGATAGCAGGACAGCAAGATAATGGATGTATATTCTGAGGTTGGTGTTCCCAGAATTCCTTCTTTCAGAGTGAACTATGAAAAGGGAAGATGTTACATATGTGCATGAGTATTCACTACAGGTCTTTGGCCAAAGACTGGGTAGCACATGCACAGGGTAAGATTCGCTGAGTCCTGTAAAAATCACCTGCGACAGCAGTAGGAGATGAATGGCGAGTGATACCAGAAGATATGCAATGCTGAAACATGTTAGAAATCCAGCCAACCCTGGATGAAGAGACCTTACTGAGTGCATTAGCACTCCAAAGGCTGTTCTTACAAAACTAAGCCCAGAGGCAGGGGGTATATCTGAAAACTAAATTCAAAACTGAAATAGACTTGCTCTAAAGAGAATTATACCAATCTTGACAAAACTACAGGGATCTGCCGATAATTTAACTGACTGCCAGAATAGAACTCAACACCTTTTAAAGGAAGATGACATGATTCAGTCTTAATACATGGTATCCTATACAATCAGTAACAGCAAAATAAAATAACTAGACATGAGAAGAACAGGAAAAAACGTGTGCACAGTCTAGAGAAAAATGCAGTCACTAGAAACTAGTAAGATGATCTAAAGATAAAGAAAGCTAATATACATTATCTTATCTGAATAACAGAGAAGAAATAAGTTTTTAAAAAATGAGTAGAACCTCAGTGACCCGTGAGACCTTATTAAGTTGTCTAATACATGAGTAAGTTGAGTCCCAGAAGAAAAGGAACATAAAGAATTGGGGAGTAAAAAATATTTGAAGACATAGTGGCTGAAAATTTCTCAAAATTGGTTAAAAATAAGTGTACTAATATAAGAAGCTCAGAAAACTCCAAGCAAGACAAATGCAAAGATCGCAGTTAGGTACACTGCAGTTAAACTGTTAAAAATAAAAGATAAAGAGAAAATCTGAAAGCTGCTGTAGAGAAATGACACTCTGCACATAGAGGAACAGCTATATTAGTGGGGGATTTCTCATCGTAACAATGGAAACCAGAAGACAATGGAATGGCACACTGAAAAAGCTGAAAGAAAATCAAAAGCTACCTTCCTAGAATTACCTGTACAGCAAAAATATCCTTCAAAATTAAGATGGAATAAAAATAGAGAGATTATTGCCATGCTGAAAAGGAGCTACACCAGATGGACATTTAGAATTACAGGAAGAAAACCATCATTAAATGTGTGAATACATTTAAACAATATATATTGTATACCTTCTTCCCTGATTTCACTGACCAGACTGCCTAAGGCAAAAATTCTAACACTGTATGCAGGTTTTTTAACATATATAGATGTAATACATAGGCAAAACTCCCACATAAAATGGGAGGGGTAAATTGAACAATACGGTTACGAGATTATAACATGGTATGTAAAAATCATACAATATTAACTCTAGACTGTAATAAATTAAGGATGCATATGGTAATCCCTAAAGTGACCACTAAAATAATCACAATAATAATATGCACCTGTAGTCCTAGCTACTCAGGAGGCTGAGGCTAAAGAATCACTTGAGCCTGGGAAGTGGAGGTTGCAGTGAGCTATGATGGTGCCACTGCACTTCAACTTAGCTGACAGAGTGAGACCCTATCTCTAAAAACAAAAAATTTAATAATAATAATAATAATTCAAAGCAGTGTAGGTAAAAAGCCAATAGAGATATTAAAATAGGATACTTTAAAAAATCAATTATTGGCCGGGCGCGGTGGCTCAAGCCTGTAATCCCAGCACTTTGGGAGGCCGAGGCGGGTGGATCACGAGGTCAAGAGATCGAGACCATCCTGATCAACATGGTGAAACCCCGTCTCTACTAAAAATACAAAAAATTAGCTGGGCATGGTGGCGCGTGCCTGTAATCCCAGCTACTCAGGAGGCTGAGGCAGGAGAATTGCCTGAACCTAGGAGGCGGAGGTTGCGGTGAGCCGAGATCGCACCATTGCACTCCAGCCTGGGTAACAAGAGTGAAACTCTGTCTCAAAAAAAAAAAAAAAAATCAATTATTCCAAAAGAAAGAAAAAGAAGAGCAGTAGAACAAAAATCAAATGGGACACACAGAAAAATGATAGACTAAACCAATTTATATCAATAATTACATTAAATATAAATGAGCCAAACACTATAATTAAAGGCAGGAATAACCAAATCGGATTAAAAAAACTCCGAACTATATGTTTTGTAGAAAACATACACTTGAAGAAAAGCATGGAAAAATACACAGTAAAAACATTCAATACAAAAAATACGAACTTACTATATTAATTTCATAGAGAATAGGCTTCAAGTTAAGGAATACTGCCATCAATAGAGGAAAAATTCATAATGATAATAAAAGGGCTAATTCATCAGGAAGACATAAAAATCATAACGGTTCATGTTCCTAAAAACAAAGCAATAAAATACATGAAGAAAAGTAACAAAACTGAAAAAATAGACAAGTCCAAATCTTAGTTAGAAATGTAAACACCCCTCTCTCAATAATTGATTAAATTCACAAAAGATTAGTAAGGATATAGATATCTGAACATTATTAACTAACTTCATTTAGTTGACATGTTTAGACCACTAAATCCAACAAGTACAGAATACGTTCTCTTTCTGTTTACAAATTAAACATCCATCAGAATAGATCATATGCTTGGCTAAGAGGTCTCAATTAACTAAAAATTTCAAAATCTTACAGAATAGTCTCTCCTGCCATTTAATTGAAAATTACCAAGTTGTTTTAAAAAGTCCCCAAATATTTTGAGTCAAATAGCACATTCATAAATAAAACAGGAATCAAAGAGCAAATCAAAAATAGAAAGTACATCTAATTAAATGACAATAAAAATATAACATAGCAAAATTTGTGGTACGCAGCTAAAGCAGTGCTTAGAAAAATTCTATATTTTAAAAGCTTCTATATAAAAAGAGAGAAGGTGAAAATCAATCTAAGATTATTCAATAAGACTCTAGGAGGACATAAAGGCAAATTAGGTCAAAAATAAGTAGACAGAGGAAGAACGAACAGAAATCAGTGAATTAGAAAAGAGACAACAGAAAGATTGGCTTCAAGAAAAAAATTAATAGAACTGAAAAATTATTTGCCAAGAATATGAAGGAAAAGAGAAAATACAAAATACGAATATGAAAAATCACAGAGGGGGCCGGGTGCAGAGGCTCATGCCTGTAAATCCCAGCACTTTGGGAGGCTGAGGCAGGTGGATCAGCCACGAATTCGAGATCAACCTGGTCTCCACTAAACCCTGTCTCACCTAAAAATACAAAATTAGCCGGGAGTGGTGTTGGGCGCCTGTGGTCTCAGCTACTTGGGAGGCTGAGACAGGTGAATCACTTGAACCAGGAAGGCGGAGGTACAGTGCGCCGAGATCGTGCCACTGCACTCCAGCCTGGGCAACAGAGTGAGACTCCATCTCAAAAATACATAAACAAATAAACAAATAAATAAATAAAATTTAAATTCAAACAGAAAAATAATGGAAGGGCTATCATGAAAGAAATTAAAAAGACAGTCAGTGAACATTAAAAATAATTTTGTGCCACTAACTTTCATAACTTCAATGAAAGAGAAAAATTACTTGAAAAATCTAAACTTATAAAAACTGGCACAAGATGACACAGAAAATCTGAATGCCTTCCATTTTAGAAGTTAAATAATTATCCAAAAATTCCCATGAAGAAACCTCCAGATTCACATCGTTTCCCTAGCAAATTCTACTAACATTTCAACCATACCTACCCAAACTTTTCCAGAGCAGTATCCCTCATTAACTTGTTTTACAATGACAAAATATCTTGGACTTCAAAATGTGGCAAAGAAAAAAAAACCCAACCAACTACAAATACACAATCTTTGTGACCATAGATACAAAAATCTTTGACAAAATATAGCAAACCAAATCTGACAATATATAAAAGTTTTAATAATACTAGTTTAGTTTATTCCAGGTAGTATGAAAGACTGATTTTACATTTTTAAATAAATGTAATCCAAGATATTAACAAAGAAGAAAAATAATATCAGTTCAGTAGACACAGGAAAAATTACACAAAGTTTAATATCCATTTATGACAAAAACGCTCAGCAAACTAGGAATGTAAGAGAACTTCTTCCACCTGATAAAATGCATCTATGAAAAACCTACAGCTACCATCAT